GGTAAGAATTCGATAAATATGAATAATATCTAACAGCATTAACCAATATGTTATTTGCATTTCATATATGTATATCGATAACGATATCAATAAAACTGTCTATTATTAAAAAGACAACACCGTTAAAAGTTTCATTGAATATACATACATACATATGGATGTATCAAATACGATCTCAATAAATATATGTATCGATATGTGTGTGGAGATTAGCGTGTTCCAAAAACAGTAAAGTCAGAATTGTAATGCTCTCACCCCCTAGGATTATTCTGTATCGAAAAAAAGTATATCCCTTTTTTAACCGACTTCCAAAAAAGGAGGAGGTTATCAGTTCATCGGAATTTTTTTTTTATGTATGTTACCGCATAACTTTGGACCACGTCAACTTTGCACCACGTCAACCGTAATTCTTTTTGCATCGGAAAGGTAGTGTCTCAGAGGTGGTCCCATACAAATTTGGTTTAGATCCGATCATTGAATCATGAAATATATAGATATATATATATATTTAAGTCGGTTTTTTTTTTGCTAAAAATTACTTGTTTTATTTTGAAATCAAAAAATATTTAGATGTCGCTCAAAGCGCTCAAAGCTTTCCATGTATTTTTATATGGGAAAAATAAATTTTTTCCTAGAAATGGTATAGAATTCTTGAAAGTCAATAGTTTTCAGCCGGAAAACTCTGGTTCTCTTCAGGAGACTTTCAATAATAATACCCAATTGTTTATTTAACCATTTTTGAAGTGAAACTTCTTTAGCGGCGGTTGGTTGGTTGGGAGTAAATTGGCAAATTCGAAGGAAATTGCACACGGAAATGGTGCAACGGAAATAATGCAACTGAAATGGTTGGGGCTGAAACAAGTGCTTCTTGGGTGTATGGTATTAGATTAACAAAAAATTGCTAATAAAATGGTGCAACGGAAATGGTTGGCGCTGAAACAAGTGCTTATTGAGTGTATTCACATGGTATTCATTTAACAAAAATTTGCTAATAAAAGGTTAAAGAATAACACTTAGAAAAAGACCACTACAAGAATAAAGGTAAAGGTGACTACGTACATAGATAAAGAAAAGGATAAAGGCAAAGGTAAAAATAAAAATAAAAACAAAAATGCGTAAAGATAAAGTCAAAAATGAAGACCAAGGTAAATTTAAACACTTTACTTATATATATAAGGGAAAGGTGAAGGGGAATATGTAGATGAAGAAAATGATAAACATAAAAGTATAGACAAAGAGGAGGATGAGAATACCGATGAAAGTAAATATGGAGATAAATAGGGGAAGAAAAATTAAAATAAAGGTAATTAAAGAGGAAAGGATATAGAGAGAGACTCAATCTGCGAACTATCTGGGGATTTTATGATATTTTTATCGATTTTTTTATCGAAATTTTTGCCGACATTGTTATCAATTTTGCTATCGATATTTTCGGAACTTTGCTATCGATATTTTTGTTGATTTTGTTATCGACATTTACCGATTTTGTTATCAATATTTATCGATTTTTTTCGATATTTATCAATTTTCTTATCAATTTTATTTTCGATATTTATCGATTTTGTTACCGATCTTGTTTTCGACATTTATCGATTTTGTTATCGATATTTATATATTTTGTAAGCGATATTTATCGATTTTGTTATCGATATTTATCGATTTTGTTGTCGATATTTATCGATTTTGTAATCGATATTTATCGATTTTGTTTGGAAATTTTTGTCGATTATTTTTATCGATATATACATCGATTTTGTTATCGATATTTTTATCAGTTTTGTTATCGATATTTATGGATATTGTTATCGATATTTTTGTCGATTTTGTTATCGATATTTATCGATTTTGTTATCGATATTTATCGATTTTGTTCTCGATATTTATCGATTTTGTTATCGATTTCGTTATGGAAATTTTTATCGATTTTGTTATCGGTATTTTTATCGATATTTTGTTATCGATAGTTTGTAGATATATATATGTATATCGATTTTGTTATCAATATTTTTATCGTTTTTGTCATCGATATTGTTATAGATATTTTTATCGGTTTTGTTATCGATATTTCTCGATTTTGTTATCGATATTATTCGATTTTGTTATCGATATTTATCTATTTTGTTATCGATATTTATCGTTTTTGTTATCGACATATATCGATTTTTTCATTAGATAACATACTGTAATTAGAAAAAAGAAAAAATATAATCTTAAGCAAAAGCAGAAATATGTATGTATTATGTGTATACATACATACATATGTACATATATTGTTTATGAGAAAAAAGATATGTATGTAACGTAAGTTTCACTTCTCCAGTGTGGCCCAAGCGCACTTACTTTTTTTTAATACTATCGATTTCTTATTGGTCCCTCCATTGCATTTTTCGAGGTTTTTGTTGGTTTTCGGAGGACCTATAAATTGTAGTTGCGATGAAAAAATGGTTAAATAAACAATTGCGTATTATTATTGGGAATCTTTTGCAGATGAAAAGAGTTTTCCTATAGAAAAATATTGGTTTTTTTAGAATTTTATGCAATCTCTACGAAAAGTTGTTTTTCCTCATATAAAATACATGGAAAACTTTGAGCGCTTTGAGCGACTCTTAAATATTTTTCGAATTCAAAATAAAAAATAGGGGTATACTTTTTTTCGATATAGAACAATCCTAGGGGGTGAGAGCATAAAAATTTCGACTTTACTTTTTCATATGCATTTTTGGATCACCCTAGTGTACATACATATGTATACCGATACAACGTTTGAGCATCGTGCACGAATAACATCGGTTTAAAACTTATTATTCTTCAAAGTTTTTTATTGATGTTAGCTGAATAAAAAATGAAACTATGCTACCAGATAACTCCATAACCAGGCAGGTGTGGGCAACCTAAATGTTTCTTGTATTTTCTTTATGTTGCGCTACCAGAAACCAATCATCCCGTTGCTTGCTTTGTGTCAAATAATATTATTTATGATTTTCGTATGTCTGTATGTTTATATATATGTAAGCATTGACTTTTTATAAAAAAAAAACTAAATATTACTCGCAAAGCTAGTATGTATGTTTATACATACATACACTGAAACGTGCTCGCTTGCCTCGGATATTTTTGTATGTGTTTGAACCGTCATCCTCATCCGGTTTATAAAAAGCTAGGGGATGATGCTTTCGACACGAAAAAAATGTTGACTATTGTCGCGAATTCTATGTGTGCGATCGCTTCAATACCCAAATAATTGTTTGTATCCACTTTGGTATGCACGTTAGACCGTACCACATTAGAGGCAAACAAAAAAAGTTCGCCGTATACCCCTGAGTGTAAAGTATTTTTGCAAGGGACTTTAAAAAAAAAATATATTTTTGCCGAATCTAGGGGTTGCTGTTTTTCATTTTTCAGTGACACCTACATACATTGTTTAAATACTGGCATAATCAAAATATGTACTTCCTTAGAAATAGTTTAATGATTCTTGGTGAGCTTTTATTTACTGACGTTAGGTTAGGGTTATAGGAACAGAGATCTGGGTGCTTGAGGCCAATAAACTTTGGAACCAAAAAAACTCTCTCCTCAAGACAGGAAAATCGATATATCCGACTGTAAACGCCGAAAATATGACGAGAAAAAATGTGGTAAAATACGATTCGTCCACAAAAAAAAAAAATAAAAATTATTTTCGAGCTTGCCTTGCCAAAGTAATTTAAACTTTTTTTTGGTACAGTTTAATATGTATGTATGTATGTATATACTATGTATGTATGTACATCGTATCGACACCTGCCCGTGTCTCTATTTAAACGATGAACACACATTCCTAAAGCATTCGCAATTAAGCTTGCTCTGAAGCTGTAAGAGATTACTTTGAAAGCAGAGTACATAGAATTGGCCATTGTACTGTGTGTATGTATGTACATATGTATGTACATATATATGGATCTATGTTTGAATAAGGGGTGTTGCGAATATTTGCATTCGCATTCGATATGCGAATGATTCGCATTATTTTACACATTCGCATTCGCATTAAATGATACGAATGTTTTGCGAATGCGAATGTACATGTTGAATTGGCTCTGAGTCTTTCTAACCAGGGTGCGGACAATAACCGGCTTTTAGTTTCAGGCCTTCAACAAGTACTGCTAAAAGTCTTAGAAGCAACCTAGATATAATTTTAGATTCCTCCAGCGAAAGCGAAGGCTCGGCTGTAGAATCTGGAGACATTCAAAAATGTGAAATTAAAGTTCAATTGAAGGCCTATCTTAAAGAAAAACGTGTTCATCTCGGTGAATATCCTCTCAATTGGTGGAAAACTAAACTAAAATACGATAAATTGACAGATCTGGCCCGCAAATATTTGAGCGCTCCACCCGCCAGCATTCCAAGTGAGCAATTGTTCAGTGCAGGCGGCCTTACATACGAGCCTCTAAGAAATCGCCTCATGCGAGAAAAGGCAGCGAAATTACTTTTTTTTTTTTTTAAATATAATATGTAGCTTTTGAACTTTGAATATTAGTTTAAGCACTGTATAGGTTAAGCACTCGTCCAATATTCTAATAATTTACAAAATTTTTAAGTAATAAAAACGATGACTTAAATTGATTATAGGTTTTTTAATGTTATTCCTAACATTCGCATTCGCATTCGCACATTCGCATTCACGAATGTCAAAAATATGATATTCGAAACATCCCTAGTTTGAATACACACATACATATGTTTATCGAGGGTGCAAAATCTGGGTGCTGGATGCACGCGATCACCTAAACGTATTAGTTATCCAAAAGCTGCCGACGCACATATCTATACACATACATCCATAAACATTTTGCTGTATGTGTATGTGTTTAATTGACGACAAAAAAGTAACAGTGGATCGTTGATATCTACAGTCGCAGCTACGAGTGTGTAGATATGTATGGCCTTAGCTAACTATCCAACCAGCCAGTCGCTGACAAACGACGACCACTTTGAATAAGTGGAAAATTTACTGCGTGCGATGATTATAGTCGCGTTCAGTCAGTCATTCGGTGAAGTAAACGAAAAATTTTATCAAACGGCACGCCAATGTTCCTTTGTGTTGAATGTGTGAGTGTGATGTGGCGGCGGTGATGTTTGGCCAAGTCAAAAAAAGGATAATGCGCATACTTTTAAATAGCGTACAATATTTAAATTATAATGAAAAAAATAAATAATAAAACCTTAATACATAAATATAATATTTTTTAATTAACATTAAGTGCACTAATAAAATAAAAATTTATAAAAAAAAAAAAATTACTCAAAAATTCAATTTCCGTATCCTTTACTCCGCAGATTGCAGCTGCACATCAAAGGTGTTCATAACATTTTGTGTTTGTGTGCATGTGTGCGCGTATATGTGTGTGTGCTTTTGATCCTTGCACACGGCTTGGAAGGTGCTTCTAGTCGGTGAACAAAAAAAAAAAAAAAAAAAAAAAAAAATAAGCAAAAAAACTCGGTGCTGCCCGTTACAAATAATCTTTTGTTTGTTTGTAACACTTCATAGTTAAATAAGTAACACCAACAACAACACACACACACACACACAAAATGACGCGACCGAAAGAGGATTCAAAATTTAAAGCATTCCTGCGAGAGAACTCGCTGACTATGCTCACAGTGACCGGCGTGTTCCTGGGCGGCTTAGTTGGCTTCATCATTAAGAACAGCACAGGCGAGTGGACGAAGCGTGAGATTATGTACATATCTTTTCCCGGTGAACTTTTTTTGCGGTAAGTGAAGCATATAAAAGAACTAAAATTTTTTCAGTTTTATGAAATATTTTAGTTCGAATTTTTTTCTTTGATTTCTTTATGGATCTGTGGGTTATACAACAGGATAGATAAAAAAAAATTGCACTCTCATCCTTAGTGCGTTTTGTTTTTTCATTCTAGGCTTCAAAACAAAGCTCATAATTTTTAAATTGCCCTTATAAAAAAGGACTTCATAGTCAGCCCTTGCTTGGGTGCAGAGTCGAACGATATTTCTACCGCAACATCGTCATCGATACGTATATACAAACCAGGGCTGCAAACCGGGTTTTAACCGAACCGTCGCTTTTTGTTGGGCTTCGAACCGAACCATTTTTATTTTGAAATGCCAAAACCGAACGGAAAACCACTCCAAAAACACAATGTGTGTCGTAAGTGTCGTATTGTTGTATGTCGTAAACTTTAAAAGCTTAAATAATTGTTTAGAAAAACTGAAACCACAACCAACTATTTTTTAGCACTGCGAAAATTCATAATAATGACTTTGATGGTACCTTGCGAACTCCCTTAATATATTTTGTATGCGTTTAAAGTTTACGACACACAACAATACGACACTTACGACACCGTTGTGAATACCCAACTACATTTGTTATAATTTTGTTATATTTTTATCCTTTAGCATTGAAAAAATGTATCCATTTGAACCGAACCGAACCGCGGTTCAGGAATACTCATGAACCGGTTCTTGAACCGCTACAAGCTTTTTCTAAATGATTCGAACCACTGAACCGAACCGCATCGTTTTTTGGAGTGGTTTGCAGCCCTGCTACAAACACCGAAATAGTTGTATTCGTATGGGGTAAACTTTATACATATATCGAGGGCTTATATTCAATACCCTCTATCTGCACTTTTCACAAAAGTTTAAAAATCAATTAACCCAATGAAGGAAGGGAGGCCAACTTGACGAAACCCAAATTGTGTGGGGGAGAGATTGAGTTCTCACTAGAGGCGAAATATCTAGTCGTAATACCAGATAAGGGACTCAACTGGAACTAACATCTCACAGCGATTACCAACAAAGTCATGAGGGCATTTTACGCTTGTCAAAGGCTCCATGATAAAACTTGGGAAATATCACCGAAACTAACGTATAGGTCATTCAATACACTGATAAAACCGATTATCACTTATGCGGCACTGGCTAGGGGGCCAAAATCCAAGCAAGCAACCTCAAGCGGCACTCTGGCTAAGTTCCACCGCCTGGCCTGCTGGAGCGCCCATAGACTGCCGAATCTAAGGGGTCATTTGGATGTCCTAAAATGACTTAGCGTCAGAGGGTCAAGAACCTATTCAGATATCCAGAGTTGGTCCGTTTGAAGTTATTTTGATATTATGATAGCTGTAGCATCGACACCTGGGTAGCGATGGAATGATAGTACACATATGTAAGTTCGTGAGTAGTTCCACTACTTTACTAGGTTAGAGAGATTGGGTAAACACTGCGACGAGTAGGTATATTAGGTTCCACTTCACTAGGTTAGATGCAACGATTTCAGAGCTTAGAGATCATCGTATTGCTGTATGGCTGTCCGAAAAAATTGTCAGTTAAGAACAATTTTTCCAGTCTCCTAGATAACGTTTATAAACTTAACAGGTTGAATGGATTATTATGACTTATAAAGTTAATAGTTCATCCAGCAGTACCTCTCGAGTCAAGGAGCGCGCGTGTTTGATAAGCAGACCATGTTTGTGATACTCATAACTATTAGTTAGAGACTAGGGCGATAAAAACAACATACATATATTTGAAGGGTTATAAGGCTCTTGAAGTACTAAAATTTTGCGCGTCGAAGTAATAACCATGTGCATTAGACCGTACCACCTTACAAGCAAACAAACGAAAAAATGTTCGCCATACACCCGAAGGTATGTAAAGAATGTATGTTTGCAAGTTAATTGCGAAATATTTTCTTTATGGTCGAACCTAAGGGTAAGTTTTTTACAATTTTCGGTGACACTTATATTCGGAAATACAATTTTCTTAAGTAGTGCCACTGGAATAATCGAAATACTTCCTGAACAAAAGTTAAATGATTTTTGGCGATCTTTAATTTACTGGCGTTAGGATAATACGTTAGAGTATAAGAATTGAGATCTGGTGGGAAAGTCCTAGAATGGGGTACTAGGGGTCGATGAACTGTGGAACAACGAAAAATTTTTTTCTGTAGACAAAAACAACGATACTTCATACTTTCAGATCCGATTGTAAACCCAAACCCCCTTTGGCCCAAAACATTTTTTTTTTCGATTTTGCCTTGCAAAAATATTTTAGCCTCAGGAGGGTACACGGTGAACTTTTTTTCTAGTACGCTCTAATGTACATAAATACATATGTATATATATGAATTAATATAAATTAGATTTTGATAAAATTTTCTAAAATCCAATTTACATACATATATTTCGACTTCTATCCATATATTTACAGCATGCTAAAATGTTTAATTGTGCCATTGTTGGTTTCATCCATAACGAGCGCCATTGGTGGGCTCGATCTGAGTATGTCAGGGAGGATTGCCATACGGTGAGTGAAAATGGCAATCATCGGAATGGATCGATTTCCACTATTTATTATATTCTACTTATGTATGTATGTATGTATATTCAATAATATAGCAATATAATTACAGAGCTAACGCTTATTATTTTGTTACAACCATTTCGGCGGTTGTTTTGGGTATTTGCCTAGTCACAACAATACGACCCGGACAGGGTGCCAAAATAGTGGAAATACGCACCGAATCTGTAGATAAAGCATCTAAAGTGCTAACTCCTGATACGCTTATGGATTTAGTGAGGTAAGGTGTGAGAGCGCTAAGCAATAACAGATTTCCCATTATAAAATTGACTAATAAAAACAATTTCAATATTTACTAGGAATATGTTTACGGATAACATTATTCAATCAACGATGTTTCAGGTAAGTTTATATGGCAAATTAATTCAATGAATTAAAAAAAAAAAAAAACACCAGCTTTAGAGCACTGATAAACTTCTCTATATATCCCTGAATATCGCATTTAGCGGAAAAACTAGTCATTTAGGAATTGCTTTATGATATTACTACTGTATACATTTTGTACCCTATTAGCTATTTATGTAAATGTGGAGCATATCTGTCAAATACATCCCTATCCATTTTTGGATATACATAGTACATACATATGTAGGTATGTATGTTTTGTACATGTCTAATTCCATAAATCTTTAGTAAACAACCACTGCACATGAGAATGGCAAATCTGCACTACTATCAATTTATTTGCAAATTATCCAATTGACGAGGAAATGCTTAATTTAGCTATAGTTGATAGCTAGTGGACGAACGTCAGAAAAAAACGAAAGAATTGGAATAGTATCTATAAGCAAAAAATATCCAACACGCACATGTGTAAATTAAGTTGGAATTAAGTACTCAGTAAAAAAATGAAACAAAACGCCAACTCCCTCGAGTACTTGCTTGTCTAGAAGGTGCTCATTGCTGATGTATGGCTACTATTCGTAAATCTGACAACTGTTATATCGCCAGTGTAAAGCGCGAAGTTGTTAAGTCCACTTATGTAGTTTCCGGAAGGATTAAGGCACTGCACTGAAAATTCGCTGAGGAAAATGTAATACGAAATCTTTTGAAAATTTATAAAAATAGACGTAGCAACTTTTCACTCTAACAGGGCATTTCTGGCAACTGTCTATCAACTGTTACCACAGTTAAATTAAAAATTAAATTAGTAAAAGAAAAAAATTTTAACAAAAAGAAGAAGGTAATATTCAAAAATTAAATGAAATAAATAAAATACTCTTATTTTTAAAAGAAAACCTAAAAATTAAAAGAAAAGTAAATTGAAAAAATAAAATAAAATTAAAACTATAATAAGATCCTAAAAATCAAATGAAATAAAACAAACATATATTTTTTAAATAGTAGATAAAATATAAAAATTAAAATAAAATGAAATTAACGTAAGAGAATAATAAATAAGAATAAAAATTAAGTGAAATCTAAATAAAATGCTTTTCTTTTTTTAAACAATAAAATCTAAGAACTAATTTCTTTTCATTTTACTTAAAAAGAAAAAAAATTAAAAAAGAAAAGAAATAATATAATTCCCTAAAAATTGAATGATATTAAGCAAAAATATATTTTGCCTTTTACAACAATAAAATATACAAATTAAAAGAAAATAAAATTAAAAATGAAAAAGAAATTAAACTAAATACAAATAATACAAATAAATACAATAAAGTTCTAAAACTAACAGTCGGTTTCACCAGCAATTTAAATGGAAAATGATTTTTTATTTTCTGTCAATTTCCATATAACATAATTTGTTAATTGTGCCGACTCGAGGTCAAATGGTTTTAGAAAATTTTTAATTAAAACACAGGATTTTAATTTTTTTTTTTGTTCAATATATTTCGGTTACACCGCGGTAACCGTCTTCAGAGGAAATTCCATATAACATTCAAAAAATTGAAATCACTTTTCACTTAAATTGGTTTCGTAAAATTGGCTGTAAATAAAATTAAAATAAAATGTTTCGTTCTTAAACAGCAAAATCTAAAAATTTAAAGAAAATTAAACAAAAATAAAAATATTAGAAGAAAAAAATAAGTTCCTAGAAATTAAATGAAATAAAAGAAATACATTTTTCTTTCTAAATAAAAAATCATAAACATTAAAATAAAATTAAATTTGGAAAAGTGAGTGCCCTTGTCGAGGACTTTGCTTTGCTCTTTTGAACATTGCAAAGACTTTTTACCAGGGCTTCGGAGCAAAGGTTTTTCATCGCTCCGCTCTAGCTCCGCTCTGGTATTTTATTTCGCTCCCGCTCACAATAAAAAAAGTTGTTTTATTTAATTATTTACACTCTAAAAAATGTTTAAAATTGAGTAAATATGAGCACTTTATATTAATTTATTTTTTTAACGTATTTCTACTTTCAAAATGTTTGTAATTTTAAACATTTCATGTGTATATTTTTATGTATATTCTAAAAAACTCATGTTCAAAATTAAATCTTGAACATCTTGTCCGTATATTTGCACAGATTCTGGTTGAAAAATAAACACTTTTCAGGAGTAGTTTTACATGCACTTTTTAGAGTGTACATATCGAGACATTATCGCAAAAAATGTAGGCGATTTTTTTTTTTTTTAATTTTCAGAAATACATCTAGATGCTCTAGGAGCACTTCTGCATCCAAAAAGAAATTAAAAAAAAAGTTGCCAAGTAAATTAAATATAATGGAAATTTATTTAGCACGGTTGTTTTCAGTGGCAAAAAATAATAATTTAAGTAAATTTATTAACTGAAAATTTTTTTAAATTTTTACCAAAGTTAAGATAAATATTTTAAGAATTGATTAATAACTAAATAATGGGCTAGTAATTTCCTAAAAGCAGGGTCGGGAAAGAAAGTAAAAGCTCGGTGTAAGTCCAACACTTTTCCATCCCGTGCTTAAAGCGCATTTGACCACTTCGTAGCCACGTGCACTAAGCTTTTAAAGCTGTTTCAGCAGACAAATATTTGGAACACGTATTCCTTGAACCGACCGCTATCGCCACGAAATGGTATAAATGTACCGCTATCAGACAAACGCCGGTGAACAGCAGCGAAAGTTCTTGTGCTCGGTATGCGACGGTGAGGAAACGCTTCTTCGTACACTCCTTGGGCCCTTGGAATAGAATCTCGTGCAAAACCATAGTAAAAGTGAATATCGGCCAGCACATGATTGGAATAATTCATTTCGATTCGATTTGAAAAACACTAATTGCCTTATTCATAAAAAATAAAGTACGTTTAAAGAGCTTCATAAATTTTTCAGTTTATAAACCTTTCTTAAAGCTACTTTATTTTTATGAATAAGGCCATAAAACTGTAATTTTAATGAGAGGTCGTTCGAACGAACCAGGCACTGTATCGAAGACACTGATAATAAACAAAATATCGCAGCTGACAGCGATTCGAAAGCGTTAAAGACGACGAAGAAAAAAAACATAAAAATTTTGTAGGTCAACTGAAAACTTCGTACTACGTAAACAAACCGGATTTCAAGTCGATGACATCAAAAATAACGAATTTGATGTAAGTCGGCCAGATCGGGTATATGACGGCTATATGATATAGTGCCTCGAAACGAACAAACTCAGGGCAGATATGTATCTTCATATTTTTTTTTGTAAATAGGACAGGGAAATGCTTTATGCAATGGTCGGGGGCGCTAGTCTCTATACTACCTTCGCCGAGTGTGGGACTCCCACCGCAGCGTATTGGGCTACCCACTAAAACCCAAACTCCCACCGCCCGCGCAAGAATCCCGCATCTGGCACCGCAACTCTGCATGTGTTCAGATGCAAGAGCGCGCTACTGGAGCCTCAAGGCAGCTCTGTTGTAGGGGCGTTTCATTCGGGTTGCCTCAGTAGACATCCGTCTTCTCGTTTGCAGCGGAGTACGAATTTCACGTATCTCGCAACTGCTTCCCACTTGTCTGCACTGGAGATTATTACCCCAATTACGTTGTTCGGGATTATGTCTCCGTATCTTTTTTCCAACATTCTGCGCGAAGACAAGAAGTGATCGCCGGTGAAGAATGTATGGGTACGTTATCTTCGACGTTTCGGTGAGTCTATCCTGCTCATTCTATGACGATATTCTCGGAAGTAACCATGATCGGTGAGGATATCTTCATATTTAGATTTTATACAAAAACAATAAATTTTTTGCCCATACTGCAATGTGCGCTTTGTGACCGATTTTTGGTTCTGTAGGATCAGTTTTCGGTTCTTTGATTAGAATTTTCGAACTTTAACAGTTGACTAGCTCGTGACATACAAATATTATATGTAAACTCTGCCTCAGCATCATCAATATATGTGCCTCGTTCATGCGTAAGCTTATAAATAAATACACATGTAAATACAAATACGTACATGTTCATTTGCTCCAACACTTGGCCCCTCAATTTTTTTTTCACTTTTTGATCACCTATTTATGCAAATTTTCCTATGTTATTACATGTACGTATTCACTTTGTAGTGACTAATGTGCACCTTTGTGTTGTAATCTCATTTATGTCACCCTCTGCGCCGCTAGTTGGTGACTAGTGGCTGCTTGTTGCGCTACTCGTCTATCTATACAAACATATTAAATTACAAATTGAATTACTTAATCTGCATGATAGCTAACGGGCCGTTTGGAGAGCTTTGAACACAGGGGTCGTGGTTTAAATTCATCTCATGTCAATTGTTGTTTCCGAAACGGATATAGTTGTAGGCTATAAGCTAAACCAATTGCTAATCAGACTGCTTAGTAATTTTTTTGCGACGACATTTTCGGATTTTGTTACTAAATCTTGTTATGTTTAAATTTCAATGCAGTAAGTTTTTTCTTCGTCCAGCTTTATATTTTCATTTGATATTTTGTTTTATTTAGAAATCTCTCTCGAAAGCAATTTCCGTTTTAGAGCCACAGAGCTATAGAAATCTTAACAAGAACTTGGCAAACGAGTAGTTAGTTAGGTAAGCCATAAATAACTTGTGTTACCACAGTTTGACACCGTTTAATTATCCTCCCTGTCGAACCACTTTGTGTCGCTGATGAATCTCTCAGGCACCTTACGTCGGTGTTTACACAAGAGATGCAACAAAACTGTTTCCTCCTCTTCTAGAGCCCCCACAAAGCTAGATAAACATATCCTCTCTTCTAAGAGAGTATACCCTTCGTGACCATGGTTGCCACTCGCCAACATTTTTTTCTACCAGAATCTCTTAAGAAAAGTTACCAAAAGTTACCAAATCTTCACTACCGAAATCTTCACTTCTTCACTGAGAAAAAAATATACTTAATAAAACTGCTATATTTCTTAACAAATGTGTGTATACTTACAGCCAGTTTCTGTGACTTAATAAATTCAATATTTATATAATTTGTGAATTTTTGATTATTTATCAAGAACTCCCAGTTCAAGCACAGAAGTTTAAATCTATTTTCTTGATAAATTATCAAGAGTGAAAATGCCATTGACAATCATAATAATATTTTTTTTTTTTTTTATTAGGAAATATTTTGCTATCAATTAATTACTGCATGTGCCGTTATTCTCATTTTCGTTGTTGGTGTATCCGATAGGGTAGGTAATGTGGAACGATTTTCCATCATCCCTTGTCAAATTTGGTTTGGAGACAAACCGCTTTCGGCGTTGTGCCATTTTCAGTGTCATTTTTCGTTCGGAATGTGCCGTTATTTTGGACCTGCGACTCACGGAATAATGGCACCGGTACACAAAAAAAAAGTTCCGGGTGCTTTTAACCGTCCATTTGACTCGTACAAAATTTCGAGTAAATTGCGAACATTTTTTTGCAATTTTTTCAGTTTTTCATAATTTAGTGTACGTGTCAAACGGACCTCAGATTCGGATTCGAAATACATGTCGGTAGGTGGGTCTAGTAAAAAGCACGCGACATTTTTTTTGTGTCGGAATAATTAAAACGATTTCAAAAAATGTGAGATGGTAGAATTCAAAATATATCGCAAAAATTCGAAAGTTGTTTTAGAAGTGCAGCCCTTGGATAGTGGCAGCACCACTAATGAGATGACTCTAATTTTATCGAAGTAAGTTTGTAGAAGTGTCAGTAGTGCTGCCATTGAAACTCGAAGGGTTTTTATAAATACGCACATGCAAAATATAATTCATTTCTTTCTAGTAATGCAAATAGATATTTAGTTGCAAAAGTTACCAAAATGAAGCAAAAGTTACCAAGTTACCAAACCGTTTAAAAGTTACCAATTTTGGTAAAAAGTTACCAATTGTGGCAACCATGTTCGTGACCGCATCCGATCTCATTTAGGCCACGTCTGCTTGGAAATTCGGCAAGTCGTACTATGACTCCATCTTTCTTCAGCTTGTATACAAACTTATTAAGTATCAGCTTGGAAGTGGCAAAAGGCATACCAATGCGTTCTTTACCAGGAAGAATCTGCTTGGTCCGTGCCTTGCCTTGTCTGGAGTCTGTTCTATTTGACCTTCTCCTGTAGAGATTGGCGGCAGTCCAGCGCAATCTTTGAATAAAACGAGAAAGAGCTCAGAGCTTTGATTGCAGCGTGGCTATCAATAAAAATTAAGACGTCCCTTCCCATCATTTCGGTTCCAAGACTCTCAGCAGCCTTCATGATAACTGAAATTTCACTTCGGATACGCTAGTCTGGTAACCAAATGAAAATTTCTAGAAGAGGTTTTCGTGGGAAAATGCCCTTTCCAACCTTACCCTTGAGTTTCGGGCCACCAATAGGGCTGCCAGATATCTCTGTTGCCAAACCGGGACACACAAAAACAAAAAAATTAAAACATGAGATCATGAGATCATTACAACGTACGCCAACAAAACAAAACAAATTATTACAACTAAAGCACAGAGAATTTTTGACAATGCATGAACCTTTTTTTTTATACTTTAAACAAATACAGTTTATACTAAATATATGAAAAAAACATGAAAATAAAATTGTTAAACTTTGTGCTAAACTCGGGAAATTTCAACAAATTTGCAACATTCTAATCAGACTTTTTATAAAAATGAAATTTAAAATGAAGTTTTGCAGCCCATTAAATTTTAGTTGTGTTTACTGAGAGTTTCTTCCATACAAACTATGTTCGATAATTCTTTTTATATGGACGACACTGTCAGCAAAAAATATAAATGCTAAAAATCAACGAAATTTGCTGGCAACTTCGGACTTGCACTTTATTAATTGGCTCAAAAGCTACATTTTCAAAATTTTTCTAAAAGATCTGATTAGAAGTTGTGATCTGATGAAAAAGCCTCTGAGTCAATAATTTTGTACGGCATTGTACTTATAAGTACTCTAGGTTTCATGAAAGAAACAAATTTAAGTACAAGATAGCATTAAAATATTAGTCATATTTTTCGTTGCTGTGAACTTGTTTCAAAACTTCTGTCTTTTCCTTAATATAATTGTCAATAATCATTTTGAACGTATTTAGGTTCATATACTAATCATCAACGATTGCTTGTGCAAAGTTCAACTATCTCGAAATGTAACTATTTCACAAATTAAACCGGTGCACTGAGAGAAAGAAGTTTAGAATTAAAAAAGCGTGCTAAATTATAAAAATATGCATATGAAATAGTAATACGCAAATTTTAGTATTTAGTATAGAAATATTCAATTTAAATAGGCCCATATTAAAATGAAGCGATTTGCAATTACCGATTGCTTTTTCATAATTAAGCTAAACAAATATTTAAATTCCATGCTGGTTGTAATGGGAATTGAACCCTGACCCTCTGGAAATTAGCAAATTGTGGCACGCATCCTGTCGCACTCAGCTACAGCCAGACATGTAAATGTGCATTTAAATGTTGAGTTTGAATCAACACCACGCGTGCGTGTTATGAAAGTATTATTTTTAAATACGAACATTTTTAAACGATAATCAAATAGAAAATATTCATGTTTACTATGCGTTATTTCTCTCAATGAATTCATAACATTTTTCTGAATATTACAACGAGTTTTTTCTCTTAGTGTAGTGATTTTTGAACTTTTATTCAAATTTGTGGAATCAAATCAAAAACCGCGACACTAAAACGAACTACGGGACATTTTAAGGTTGTACCGGGACACCGGGACGAATAGTCTAAAACTGGGACATGTCCTAGAAAACCGGGACGTCTGGCAGCCTAGCCACCAATGTAGATGTCAATACTACCGGCTGGCGTATTGAAATCTTCTTTCCACTCCTCCGTCGTTGCATACGCCGATGACATTGCTAACGCATTGAGGGGAACGTTCGGGATGTATCCAAGTGGGCAACTCGCAGTGGCCTAAGCGTCAGCTAAAGCATGGTGGAGCCAAATTTCTAGGCATTATTTTAGATAAGAAGCTGAACTGAAGGAGGATATGTTTCAGCGTTATGAGAAGGCTTCCGTAGCCCTCTATACTTGTAAAAGGGCCATAGGCAAGAGATGAAGCCTCAGTTCCCGGATTTGTCGATGGATATTTATAGCAGTCGTTAAACCAATCCTCCTGTAGGGAGTGATCATATTTCTCTCCAAAGAAAGAAGTTTAAAAAGGCTTACAGCCTAAAATATTTTTGTGGAAGGTTGCTACCTGTTTTTATTTAATTTAATTGATAAGATAAATTGAATATTGCAATACGGGTATCAAACTGAATAGGTTTATTAAATTGAAAAAATAAACGAAATATTACAATATGGGTATCAAAAAACACAAAAATACTTGTACGACGCAGTGAATCACGCCGGATATTTGCTAGTCTATATATATAAATATAAGTGTAAGACCAAGTCAGATCTCCGACAATAGATTCTCACACGCTACCGATCCGAATTAAACGTGCTTACATAGATTTTCATTTATCAGCAATATTTCACTAAGTCTCCGAAACAAGGTGACCAAAAGAGGTTAAGTTCGATCTTTTTTAGATGACTCCGCCAGCTCAAAGACCACACCAAGCAGTCATTCGTCGTGGGTGCATAGTTTTTTCTTGTAGTAGGTGCAGTTTTGCTTGTTAACGAATCCGTTTATGTGAAAATGCGCATCATCGCAACTTTTACGCGTTGTTCAACTGAGTATCGCACCATGACTAAGTTTTCGATAGCCTGTAGTACCAATTGTCTGAAAAAAAAAAATATTAACATATCACTAATAATTGCTGTCAAAGGTGTGCATCCCATACATACCCGTACTTTTCTTAATATAGGTCATAAGTTGTAGGTACGATAGTACCTTCTTTTAAAATGGAAATTTAGTTCCAGGATTTTCGTATTCACATGTTCTCTTACACATTCATATTCGCTTTCTTCTCTTCTAGTATCGCACGGAAATCTTCGAAAATACGAGTATAAGTCCACCGGGTAAGTCATCAGCTATGCATTCATAATATTTTACTCTATACATTTTACTCATTCCACAACTATTATTTTTTCCCAAACAGTACCCATGGAAGAGTGGGACTTCAAGTCAGCACAACGCGAAGGCTCAAATGTACTTGGCTTGGTAATGTTTAGCGTCATTTTGGGCACAACCATTGGGCGCATGCGTGAGAAAGGTCAACTGTTACAAGATTTCTTTACCTCACTTAGTGAAGCGATGATGACAATAACGTCTTGGGTTATTTGGTATGTTTTCGAAAAAAGTAAACCACGAAAAATGTTTAGTAACATATTTTTAAGTAAGCTACGTATTTACTATAATTTCACTTTGCCATATTCAATAGGATCTCGCCGCTCGGTGTGGGTTTCTTGATAGCTGCCAAAATAATTGAAATGGACTCCATTGCTGCAACTATACAATCTTTGGGTTGGTACTTTATAACGGTAATGCTGGGTCTCTTCCTGCACGGATTTGGTAAGTTCAAAAAAAAAAAAAAAAACTTTCTGCATTTTCATCTCATATTTATGTACATATTTTGTTTACTCCTTACAGGTACCATTGCTGTGATATTCTTCTTGGCCACTGGTACGTTGCCATATCGTTACATTGCCAAATTGAGTCAAGTCTTAGCCACTGCCTTTGGTACCGGCTCTAGTTCGGCTACCATGCCACTGACAATTAAATGTCTCGATGGTATGGGCATTGATCCGCGTGTAACACGTTTTGTCATTCCTGTCGGCGCAACAATCAACATGGACGGCACAGCATTGTATGAGGCGGTGGCAGCGCTTTTTATTGCCCAATATCGTGAGATGAGCTATTCGTTTGGTAATATTGTGGCGGTCAGTATTACGGCTACAGCTGCGTCGATAGGTGCAGCTGGTATACCACAGGCGGGTCTCGTAACTATGGTGATGGTGTTGGATACAGTGGGATTGGAACCGAAAGATGTCTCACTGATCATAGCTGTCGATTGGTTGCTGTAAGTGAAATGTTTGCTATGGATGATGTGCATGTTTCTTTTTATGTTATTTAAAACGGGATACTCGGAAGCGAAAGCTGCATTTTGTCGCAGCACCTACCTACTTAGTACTAATAAAACCTTGCCTGATATTTATCTGCAATTAATTTTTTCCCCCGACAGAGATCGCTTCCGTACCACCATCAATGTTATGTGTGACGCACTAGGCACTATATTGGTCAATCATCTGTCGAGAAACGATTTGCGAAGTGTCGATAGGGTGAGTTTGAACTATTTCTTTACTAATGAATTCATAATAAAAGCGAAATATTCTTATTAAAATGTATATTTTACTGTTTTCGGCTACAGTTGAATGCCGAACCCCATGAGCTCCTCGAACTCGGTGCGAATGGAAATGAAACGAAAGAATGAAGACGAACCCTGCCTACCCCTCCCCGTATAAAACCGAAGCCCAAACAAGGACACACCACACAACGTTGAACATTGGCTGCATAATGCGAGGCGCTTTGGCGCGTTTAAGTGTTACGATGTGTGTTTGTGTGCATGCGTGCGCATATTGGCAATGTAATAATGTCACGCTGTGAACTTTACATGGCTAACAACTGCTTCTGCCTGTGTCTAAATATTTGTATTTTCAAAGTACAAGTACACCGAATTTATTTACATATATGTATGTATAAAATTTATGAAGGAAATATGATTTTTTGAAGCCAAAAAGGAAAAATATACCAATGTACAAGAATGTGTGCCAGTTTGCGTAGGCAAAGGAATTACAAAGTATTCAATAAGATTTGTAAATATAAAAAATAATACTTTTTTTCTAAAAAAAATACTTGTAAAAGTTATTGAGCGATAAAGTTAATTAAAAAAATTTTATGTTTAATAAACAAAATAATCAAAATAAAATTATTTTGAAAAATAATTTAATTTCGAAAAACCAAGAACGCGCAGCATATGAAAATGTAGCAGAGAATAATAGAATTGCCAGCAAAAATAAAGTCAAGCAGATGTATAGATTTAGAATATGTACTGTTAGATATTGATGTTATCACAAAAGAAAAATTAAACTAAAATTAAAAAGTAGCGAACTAGTTTGTAATACTCAAATGCTGGAAATTTCGTAAATCCCTGTTAATTTGTCGTTTTTCATTTCAAAATACCAGCATTTACCTTACACGTGCATACGTATGGCTATGTATATATGTACGTATGTACATAGTTACGTATGTATGTATGTAACTGTATGCATGTAGTGCTTTGAATAGCAAAGGAAAGAAAAATTTAGCTTTAAAAAAGTTAAAACGACTAGCCAAAAAAATTTACTGTTTCATTATATACATATGTATTTAGTCATAAGAGATTTTTAAATAAAAAATATTAGAAAATAAAATTATTTAAAAGACAAGCAAATTGATTGTATTCGCGAAAGGAATTAGATGTTAAAATGCATATAAATTCGTATAAGTAGTACTATAACTAAAACTGCAGTTCAAATTTAACCTTCATTAAAATTTGCTTTACAGTTTTAACAAATATATGTAGCCAACAAAATTTTTACATAAAAAACATATTGACTAAATAAAATATTTAAATATTTACCGAAGAGCTAATAACCCTGCAAACCAAAGTTCCCGAAATCTTAAGGAAATCGTTAGGAGTATCTCATTTCTGTAACGATTTTTTTACGAATTTTCAAAGAAAATTATATGAAGTGGTTGACACGAACTCGTAAAGAAATTGCTGTACGAAAAATAAAGAAAATTCTGGAAAAATTCTGAAAGATATTCTTTACATAGCAGCATTAGTTTCGTTGCTTCACAGATTTTCTTCCGAAATTTCGTAAAAGAATGGAAGTGTGCGTAATTTATTTCATTTTAGAAAATTCGGCAAAAAATCGAATTAAATCTTAACGAATTCTTTAAAATTTCTTTACAATGCAGAATACTCTGAAAAAATGGTTTGCAGGGAAACCGTTTACGTACGTATGTTTGTATGTAGATGCGTAAGCAGTTTCGATAAATTCACAATTGTTTCAAATGCCGAATGTCATTGAGAAAGTTCATATTAAGAACTTGTAAATACTTAATAGTTTAAGATCGATTTATGACAATAAATATACAAACAAGTATAACAAAAACGCACAAAAATAATTCAGAGGCATACATAAATAACGACATATTGTCACTAGACATAAATAAAGGCGCGAGCTCAAAAGTTGACCGCGAAAAAAGTAGCATAAATACAGTATGTAATTTCCCCAAAACAGTTTTTGGGGAATGATGCTGAAATTGTAGTCCTTGGCCAGGTATAAATCTATGTTCACGCGAAATTTTTCTTAAACGTCTTTTTTCGCCGTCAAAACCTTTATTCGTGTCTAGTGACAATATAGTCATACTCACAAGAATAAATATTTAATAACGAACGAAATTGGGTCCGATAAATAGAAAAAAAACCTAAATACATACTATAATTCGCATTAGTTTCATATAGTTCATCAATAAAAATTAAAATTATAAATACATTAATTATTAGAAATAAAAATTTGAAGTTTGATTTCTATCTTAAAAAATAAACATATATTAACTTAGCGTTTCAGTTTTAGTTATATTAACTATAATAGCCAATATATGGACGGCATTAATCTATTTCGTTAAAAAAAA